TCAAATTTTGCAATTGGAGGATTTGAAAAAATATTTTTTTTTTAGGTTTTATATATAAATTTTGAAATGTAATCAAAAATCATAAATTACAATATCAATACCACAGAATTCCACTATAATTTATCAAGTTTAGTAACTAAGCTGTATTTGGGTCTACAAAATATGAAATTTTAAGATCACTAATATCTTACCTTACTGCTTAGAATCTAGCATGAAAAGAAAGAATTTGCCATGAAAATACTTCACAGAGGCTGAGAAAACCTCTAGGGGAACATTCTGAGCTTTCAAATGATTATACACACATCATTGGGCGAAGTAGGTGTATGTGAGAAAGTATTTTCAAAAACTGATGAGGTGGGTGGGGTCACCTTGGTTGACTCAATATTAATAAGATAGGTGGTTCTTATTAAATATTCTAGCTTGTAAATATCAGTAACTTGAGTATCTAATTTGTAAGAAACTACAGACTTTGTAGTTGGACATCACAAACATCTAATTTGAACCAATGCTGCATTCAACATACCACATGACACACAAAAATCGAGGTTTAGCTGTGTTTTTTTTAATATTTACTTTTAAATTAAGAAATTAACAAATGTATAATACTAAAATTTTAATTATAATCTACAATTTGATACCAAAATTATTGTCATACATTCATAAAATAGTAGTTCAATAAACTTTTGATTGCAAGTCAACAAACGTGATGACATGGCATCTGACCAGTGTCAGTAGGGTTAATGATATTGTAAAAGTTATTTATCAACACACCTTCTCCTTCTTCCTCGCCTGGAATTGGTCGAACTACTTCCATATCTTCTGCATCACATTCTTCTGTTACATCTTATGCAAACAGTTACACAAAACATATTAGAAATATTTTATTTTTGCTTTAACACACAAGTCAGCTTCAAAATAAATTATTAAAGAACTGTAAAACATCATTTTAAAAAGTATGAGCAGTTATTTATAAGAAACGTATTTCAAATTTTGTAGAATTGAGTCATGTAACACGACCTTGTAACCACCAGGTAGAAATAGTGGTATACATACTATGATGCTGAAAGTACAAAATGTATCTTCATGAAATTTGATAAGCTTTTAGTAAACATTAAAATTCTTTTGTAGACAAAAACTCAGAATTTTTAATTGAGTATTTTTACTACAATTCTGTCTGTCATTATATGGTGTCAGAGGGTTGACTGCTCCAAATGCAAAGTGATTTTCATGTCAAGATTAAAAATACTTTTTTCATCTGAAAATTTTCAACTTTCATCCCTAAAACCTCCTAAATAAATATTAAATGTTTTTTTTTTCAGAAACACTTTATATTTTATCTGTTATTTTCTATACTGTAACTCCATACAGTGTTGGTCAATTGGATCTTGTAACCACGATCAAAAATTTGGAAATAATTCTAAATTATAATTTTTTTTCTTTCTGGAATGACTGCAAATTGGAACAGGAGACCATAATTGTTCATCTTAAGTAGCTTACAGCTTGTAACAATATACATCTATTTAGACTTAATTTTATTGATTCATTGCCTTTTGAACCTTGTCTAACTAATAATCTTGCCACACAAATTGTCAATTTTGCAATAGACTATTAAATAAAATTGCCAATAGAAACAAATACTTTACAATAATAATACAATTAAAGAATCAATGTTAAGTATATCCTTTAAGACATTTTTATCCTTCAATATTACAATTACTTCTTTTCAGCTAAGTATTACAATTACATTCATTCACTCTAGCCTTACACTTCCCCTCCATTATTACAAAATGAAGAATTATCACCATTTCAAAACCAAATATATACATAAAATATATACTGAAATTTACATTTACTGATAAAAGGGAAGCATTAATGTGTTCACTTCAATCCTATATATAAAACTGAAAAAAGTATCAGTTGTGGTGTCACCCCCACCCGCAACAAACAGTTAGTTGTCTAACCTATGTTTTTGTTTTGAATATTTACGCAAAGTTATACAAGTGTTATCTTAGAGAGAAGTTAGCTAGTCAAGAACACCCATAGCCAACTTTTGAATAGTTGAGTTTCACTTATAACGCACTGACAGCTCCAAATTGTTGAGCATATTTTTGCAGCAAAAGGACATGAACTACAGACCTTGAGATTCACAGTCTGACATGCTAACAACTCGGCCATGCATGACACTACAACCATTGAAAAGTGAAGTATCTCTAATTTAAAATAATCTAAAAGCGACTGTCAAAAAAGATATTTAGGCTCACATATCAATATTAACTTTTGGGATATTCTAAATAAAATGCTCTAACCTTTTGAACTGATGAAAACTTCTTATTCAGATATTAGCAATCTTTCACACTGGATATAGATTCAGGATTGTTGTTTTATCGAGTTTTTCACAATATATAATGTCTAACACGTTAATTTGTGTTCTGCAAACTGAAATACCCACATTTCACTTGCTTTCATATGTATGTCTATAAGCTTTAGTTATGAGATGTTTAGGTATATTGATATAATAATAAAAACATATTTATAATTTTACTATAATGGACATAGCATGTATGGCAATATCTATGTACATAACCAAAACTCCTGTCCATCTATTGAATGGCACCACAAACAAAATTCCGCAAAAAATTTTGTGCTGGGTATTCAAGGTTCAGACAATTAGAAAAATAACTGTGGTATCTAAAACAACCATTTCTTTATAACAGAACACAATTTTAAATAAAAGTTCTCTCCTCACGACAAAAACACGACTTTTACTAGGACTGTATGTGAGGGTTTGATTATATTTTTATTGATGTAATTTTTAAATGCAGTATCAGAAACTGGAGTACAATAGGTTTAATGCATTTAAAAGAAATCGTACTTGAAGTTATCATGCTTTAAAAATCATTTATGACTGTTGTATATCATATTAAGTTTTAATGCAGTGCATGGAAATGTTTTAAAGACTGTGTGATTAGAGCTTACATTTGTTTCTTAATATACTTGGAATGATTTAAAGAGGAATATACATTAAATGACAATATAAAATTTTTGAAGACATTGCAAAAACAAATCACATATTTTCCAAAGAAAATCTTATAGTATTCTG